ATTTATTGTAATGATTTCACAAATGGCCTTAAAAGCTACGAAAAAATTAAAAATAAAGATCGAATAAATACAAAAACAAAAAAAGTGCAGTTGGAAGAGAAAATGTTTTTAGTTGCGTACAACAATTTTAAATAATAAAAAAATAAAAATTTCAATCTTTAAAGTTAACCACATTAATGAAAAATAGTTGCATATCTCATTTCTTTGCTCATTAAAATCATTTTAAAACTGCTAATGTTAATTAGTTAAAAATAACTATAGAAAAAAAAGCACAAACACGCAATTAAATTAACAATTTTTTTATTGCAATTTGCAACAAAAATTTACAAGAAAATTTTTTTTCCTTCTTTTTTTAAAACATCTTTGCTTTTAACAAGGCTGCAAGCAACCACTAATTAGTGTTGGAAGTTACTGGAAGAGAAAAGATGAAGATTGTAGATCAAGATAACGACTGACAGACGACTTTTTTTTTTTTCAGACAAACAAAAGATTGCAAATTATATAAATCAGAAAAGCAAGAGGAAGGAAACTCCAAAGATCTGATGTTCGAGGAAAAAAACTAGACGAATAAGAGTTTTTGGAGCACTTAGGAACAATAACAGAAAAAGGATGAAACTTAATTGAATGACAAGTAACACAAGAATAAATTTTAGTAGATGGCACATAAGGCGCTAGCTCGTTAGAGCAGTAACTTTTATAGCATTTGTAGAAAAGAGAAAGAGAAGTAACATTACGACAATGTGATAATGGTTGGAGGTTGTCTATATTTACAATGTGTTTTTGCACCAGGTCCAACTATTTTTACAATGTGTTTTTGTACCTTGTTTAAAAGAGAAAGGGCATTATTAGAAGATCTGCCCTATATGGCAACAGTATTCCATACAAGGCCGGATTTGAGATTTATAGAAATAGAGAATAGAATCCAGAATAAGAAAGTGTCAAGCTCGATAAAATAAGCAACTTTAGCAAATGCTAATTTTGCAATGGATTTTATATATGGTTTCCAAGAAAGATCAGAAGTAAGAGTTAATCCTAGAAGATGAAGGTTCATTACCGTTCATAAATATAGGGAGATCTAAATTATTGCGATAACGATTGGCTGAAAAAAAGTTTTATCTTAATTAAAGTTCACCAGCCACTGTGAGCCCCACGTTGTAGCAGAAGTAAGATGTAAGAGGCCCATGTTGTAGCAGAAGTAAGATGTAAGAGGCCCACGTTGTAGCAGAAGTAAGATGTAAGAGCCCCATGCTGTAACAGAAGTAAGATACAAAGATTTAAAGAAAAGAAAAAAGTTAAGTACAGTTGAAAAAAAAATATGTTCTTAGTTAAACACAAAAACTATTATATATTATTATATTATTATCAAAACAATGTATTAAATATTTTTATTAAAATAATAATAAAATAAGAACTTTAATCATTTATAAAAAAACAGACTTTTAAAGTAAAATAAAAGTAATCTAAAGAAGTAAAGCAAAAATATTAATAGTTTACATCGTATTTAATATTATCAACGAAGCAAAAATATTAATAGTTTAATCGTATTTAATATTATCAACGAAGCAAAAATATTAATAGTTTACATCATATTTAATATTATCAACAAAGCAAAAATATTAATAGTTTACATCATATTTAATATTATCAACGAAGCAAAAATATTAATAGTTTACATCATATTTAATATTATCAATGAAGCAAAAATATTAATAGTTTACATCATATTTAATATTATTAACAAAGCAAAAATATTAACAGTTTATATCATATTTAATATTATTAACGAAGCAAAAATATTAATAGTGTTTAACATTTTATTTTTAACTGGCACATGGGTACCCTGAAGGTGACCTAACCCTTATATCAAGTCCCATAAAATTTTGTTTTTGTTTTTGAAAGTAGTACATTTGTACATTCGGAAACTATCAAAATTTAAATCATTTGTTGGTAGCTTTTTAATAAAAAATTTTATAAATAACAATATTTTCGTATTGAAATAATATTTTTCTGTCAATCATTATAGTTGTTTACTTTCTGTAATCGCAACAGTGCAATTAGCTATAATAATATTTATTAGTTTCCAATTGCTTATAATTGTTGTTGGTTTAAAAGACTTTAACAATATTTATAAACATATTTTAGCAATAACAGCAACTTTATTTAATTAATTAATTAAATAACTTATATTAATTTAAATTTAAGAGCCAATTAAAAATACAGAAACTATTTCTCAAGAATAGAATAGAAATGCCATACTTCGCTAAAGATTATAACAAGTTTTTAAAATGCTTTTGCATATGCTGTATGAGAAAAAGTAATTATTTAAGATGCACTCAAACTAAATGCAATAAGCCAGGTCCAAAACAAGGAAAAAATTATGAAAATCTTATTAAGAGATTTTTTTGGGAAAAGGCCTGATCTGCCTAAAATGTAATGTTCTAATTGCAGAAAAAATCTAGTTAGTTTAGAGAAAATAGATTCAAAAAGATTTTTATTCAAAGCTCGACCTAAGTACGAAGCTTTTTAAGAAAATAAGCCAATAAAAACCATTAAAATTATGTTTTGCATTTTTATTGTTCTTTTTATAAACAATATTTTAAATCTAAAATATTGAATCTAGATAATATAAAAAAATAACTTCTTATTACTTTTAGGTCTTAATACTAGAGTTATTCGAGGTGGGAAATGCGAGTGTTTTATTTGTGTTAATGGGCGTAAAAATGGTACTGAAACAGCAACTCTTCCACCAATGGTATCTTGTGAAACTAATCCAGATATTGATCAAAGTCACAATTTGAATCTTTTGACTACCAATGAAAATCTTGTTCTTTGCAGAAGTTGTTTTCAATAAATAGGAATAGGTATTAAACATCACTGCACAAAGTTAGCTAAGTAAAGAAATTTGATGCATATTGTACAATCGACCTCACCTGTTACTAAAGAAAAGGATTTATCCACCACAATCAACAATTTAGTAAACCATGATGCAAAAATAACATTGAACAATTTTGGCCCTAAGAAGCTTGTTGTTTCTATTGGAGTAGTTGAACCTAAAACACCTTACTTTTCACATTCAAAACTGAAACAACCACAGAGCAAACTTCATAGAAGGTATAGATTGTTTACTACTAAATTCAAAAAATATAATTTATTTAAAAAAAACATTTATTGTTTTTAACATAGTATAAAATTTACTAGTGACAATAAGATGTTAGAAATTGCTTGATTTATATGATTGAATTGAGGAAGAAAATCTGTCGCTCCTTGTTTTTCTAAAAAAGATAAAATTGTTAATGTACCAGGCTTAAATATTTTGCTGGGCATAGTAAACAAGTTGCTCAAAATAATTGAAAAAAACTTGTTTGAGGACACTAATGAAAGATTTAATTTTGTAAATAATTATCCATCTACAATTAATCTTGCCAGAGTACCTTATCAAGGTAAACATAGGTTAGAAGGAAATGGATCCAACGACTTTTTAAAAAAACTTGATTGCTTTCAAATTTATCTGGATGAGCACAATATTATTTGTGCCAAATATATGGAAGCTTTGAGAGACTTTAAAGATGTTGTTCATGGGTGTTTTGGGAAAACATTATATCCAAACTACTCTGATTATATTTAAAAATTTTCACAAAGTTTCAGAGATCTTGGTTCAAACATTCCTTTAAAAGTTCATATAGTGGAGCATCATGTTGAAGAGTTTATTGTTATGAAATGAGGAAAGTTTGGTAAGTGCATATTTAGAAAATTAACTGATAACTTTTTAAATTTTAACATATAAAAATAATAACATTAAATATTTTGAATTAAGGTTTAGGGTATTGGACTGAGCAAGCATTGGAATCAGTCCATCAAGACTTCAAACAATTTTGGGAAATACGAAAGGTAGGACAACACAACACCAATTTTATAAATAAAACTATTCTATATGGGCATTGTATTCCTGTAGACCTACATTATCCTCTTCAATAAAATAAAAAAAAAAAAAAGTGATAAACTAGTCAATGTTCTGACTAGAATACATAAATTATTATCAAAATTTATTTCTAAATCAATCCTCAAAGTATCAATCCACTAGATCAAACAACCAAACAAATTATATACAACTATTTAATCCTATTGCAGGGGTCTTAGGGTGAGTCAGAGGAGCATTAATCTCATGTTAAAGAATGGAATCCAGAGTAAGAAAGAAAAAATAATTAAAACATGTCTTAAAGCTTAGATTTCTCAAAAAGCTACCAAAAAATGATTTATTTTTTAATAGTTTTGAAATGCGCACACGGACTACTTTTAAAATCAAAAAAAAATTTCATGGGATATGATATAAGATCTTAGGTCAAATCTTAGGCAAGAATTCATTTTGGAAGGTCAAAATATATCAGTTTCGGAAGATATAATATATCAGAAGGTAATATATCAGTTTTGAGTAGTCACAAAAAGTAGATTTGAATTTTATTTAAAAAATAAAACAACAAAATTTTCAGTTTTAGATTTTCTTGAAATTTACAGTGATGACTTCAAGCTAATTTAGAAAGAAATCTGAAAGGTTACCCACAATTCCAAGCTCAAAAATTATTCAAAATTATTGCAAGTTTCATAAAACAGAAGTAATAAACGTTATATATATGTTTACAATGCATTTTTGCACCTTGTCTAAAAGAGAAAGGGAATAACTGGAAGATTCGCCCCAGATATGGCAACAGTATTCCATATATTATATATCATAAGTTTATACTATATGACTTCACTTAATTTTTATTTACTAATAATCTGCATTAAAGATTGCTTATTGTAGGTTCATGTTATTAAGGTAAAAATTTATGACCAAACAAAAAAAAATCTGTTAAAAATAGCATCTAAATAAAATAGAAATATATTAGTCTATAATTATCATGATCAATCCAGAACAAACAAAAAAAAAAAAAAAGAAAGAAAAAGAAAGTGACTATTCATGAAAAAATGTAACTGTTAATCTATCTATAAATAATTTTGCTTACTTTCTTTTTTATATCATCTTCACCAAGTTTCCTTTTTCGAATTGATTTATTTGTTTCATTCATTTTTTCAGCACCTAATCCAAGCCCTTTATGTCTTGGAATGTATTCTATAGGTTCAACTAAACCTGTATTGTTCAAACCAATTGGTTTTCCTACACTCCATCCCATTCCTTTAAGCATTGCTGTTCCAAATACAGTTATTGGAATGCTATCATAATCTTCTAATGTGCTCTAAATCATGTGTGTATGTATGTAAGATTAAATTATTTTTATAATTAGACTTTAAAACAATAACAAAATTAAAAAAAAAAATTATTTAATATAAAAATAATAACTTTATTTAGTTTAACTTAATAACTTAACCTAAAATATTTAAAAACATAACTTACAGGTTCTGGGCGAACAGATATATCGTACATTTCATTTATTTCTTCTCCATTGCGTGGAATGGGTGGTCGGTTTTGCATAAGAATAGGTCCTACTTCAACACTGCTATTATTCTCTTCTCTCAGTTCTAAAAAAACAAAATTAAAAATATATGAAAACATCAAAACCAATACCTAAACAGACCTGGTTTGCAATTATGCAACAACCGAATTCAATAATATAACAATGTTTATCCATACATATAAAACAAATACAAAAATTTACAAAAACATAGACAAATGACAAAAAATAGTTAAGCAAAACCATCAACTTTACTTTTCAATAACTATGTGAGATTTTTGAAACTATTCTTTATGGTTAGAGCTTTCAATAACATAATTGTTGTTATTACACATAATTAATTTAAACTCTATCGTAAAAATTCCAGATTTAGTTGAACCATGGAAGTAGATATCAATCTGAGATAAAACCATTTTCTTTTATATAAAACATTTGTCATGTATCTGCTTTTGGACTCAAGGAAGACTTGAGCAAGATTCTTAACCTAAAAAAGTTCTAAAATTTTCAAGATCTTTTCAAGATGAGTATTTTTATTGAGACAAGCCTTTACTTAACCAAAACCCCTAAGGGGTATTATAAATCAGAGTTAACTTATGAATTTGCCTAGAAAAGTGAATCCTACAAAGTGGTAGGATTTGCTATACTTCCAGTACCAAGTTGATTATGATGATCCTAATCCTGACCTATATTTTAAATTATAACCTTTGCGCTTTTTGTGTAAAATAGATTCTAAAACAGTTGTACTAGAGCAATGGCTGAGACTTTGCCTCAAAGTGAAAAGTTTTAAAATTGATCTCTGGCAAAGTACAAAATTTAACATGTTTTTATAATGTTTTTAGAATATTACAAAAACTGATGGTTTTAATCTTTTTTTAACTTTTAAATTTAAAATGTCGTAAAAGTAAAGGTTCTAACAAATTGTTTTACATTTTTATCAATATTTCATAAACTTATTAAAGATGACAAGCTGTCAGGAGATTGAAAAAACATAAAACTTGTAGCATTTCCTATTTTTTCACTTTCAGATAATAATAATAATAAAAAAAACAGCTATTATTTTACTAATACAAAATTTTCTGTGTTTTTTTTTTTTTTGATTTCATTAAATGTATATCCTTTAGTGATGTATATATAAAGTAAAGTAAAATTTTGCCTATTGTTGTCTTTTTTCATGACAAATTAAAAGATAAGTTTGGCATATTTTTAAAATGCTATCTGACTTATTTGTACACATTAGTAATGATGTTGTAATTTAAATAAGCACAAATACTTTATTACAAATTGTAGCTATTATATTGAAACATTCATTTTGTTACAAAAACACAAATATAAAAACATCAACAATAATGATAACAATAACAACAATAATAATAATGACAATAATAAGAACAAAAATAATAAGAACAACAATAATAATAAAAATAACAACAACAAAAACAACAAAAACAATAATAATAATAATAATAATAACAGCGCTTAATTTATAAGCAAGAAATTCTAAGATTGATCCCATCATGCACCTGAAAGCACCATGCTCAACTTGTTTCTCTACACAGCAACCTTGTTTGTCAAGACTTGTGTTTCAAAGTTAAAGAGTTGAAAGAGTATTGAAACAACAATTTGAAAAACAATTTAAAAAATTAGAAGCCAACTGTCATGGCTGCCTGGGTTTAGTCATTTTTGCAGAAGTTTTAAGTTTCTAGCTTTAATGGTTGCAGAGGAATAAGCTAATTTTCAATTGATTTAATTTTTAATTTTTTCATCTTTAGTTATTTTTTAAAAATTTAGGTGATTCAATCGAATCTTGTGAGAGCTCAAGACTGCTATTGCTATTTTACTTTAACAAGCAGAAGTTTGTATTTATAAGAGGGTACCATGACCAAAAAAAATGTATTGCGATTATATTTTTTAACTAAAAAGTGATGTTGACTCTAAATGGGTGCCATAGTGGTGATGCAATAGTGGTGTAGTGATTCAGCACTTCCTTAGTAAGTAACAAGTACTAAGATCAATACCCACCTTATTCCTATTAGTACTACGCTCAACTTGTTTTTATGTGCAATAGTCTTGATTGTCAAGGTTTGTGTTTTAGAAATATAGTATTGAGAGAGTGTTGAAACAATGATTTAAAAATTTTCAGAGTTAATGAGTGAAACTTTGTTCAGTTAGATACTAATATGTATTGAAAACTTTTCTCTTGTGCAAATTTATGATGGGAAAAAATACTTTTCTCATGCGTAAACTTAAAATGAGAAAAAATACTTTTCTCTTGTATAAAAATTTAAGATAGGAAAAATCAAGTTATCATAAAACTTTCTAATTAGTTTGTGTCATTTTTGATGTTTTGAGGAGAATTAGTTGTAGCTGATAAAATAAACCTTTTTTTGTTTTTACATTTTAAAGAATATGGCATGCTGATAAATAAAATGAGAACCATATACAGCACATGTTAAAAGTGAAAACAGGTACACATAGGTAGCCCTCGGAATAAGTTAAAAAAAAAAATTAATAATTATCATATTTTTATTAAATATATATTTTTTTGCAATATATAAAAAACAACCTTTAAGTATTTCTTCTGCAGCTTCCTTCTCAAGGTCATCACCTTCAACTCTCCATTTGTTTTTTGTAATCAATGGAATGATGATCTCAGAAATGACTTTTTTCGGCTTGACACTAAAAAAGTAATATTTTGATAAAACTAAAAAAGTAATATCCAACTTTCTAAAGTTTTTCATGTCATTTTTTTTAAACTTCTGAGGTATAAAAAGCTTGTAAAATCAACAAATTCTTTTTTAATTTTGAATGTTTTTTAAAACTTTGTTTTAAAAAAATAATTAACAACTTTTTAAGAAAAAAAAAAGTTTACAGTGTTTATTGTTTAAAAACAAGAAAAAAATTTTTACTTGTATTTTATATTAACAAGAACAAAGAAGTTGCATTTTCTTATATTTTGAAAAAGTAATTTTAACTTTAAAAAAAGATATGTCTGGGAAATAAAGCCTTATTCTAGTATATTCCCTAGTTATTTTCACCCCTGGGATCTCAGGAAAACTGTTTGAGAAATTCTTATGGTATATCTTTCATGATCATTTTTGGAGAGGCAAAGTTAATGAAAAAACTATTTCTTCATGGCTCAAAACCACACTACCTACAATTCTCTTTCGATACCTACTAGAAAATATTTTTGATGCTGATAAATTTAGTCTTTTCTACCAATGTTTGCCTAAATAAAGTTAACATTAAAAAGAAAAAATTCACAGGAGGCAAAAATAGTAAGGTTTGTGTGACTAGGATGGCTGCAGGTAAGGTTAAAGGAGAAAGACTTTCTGTTTGTAATTGGAAAATTAAAGTCTAATAGATGTTTTAAAAATGAGAAAAATACTCCTTTTTGCTATTGAGCCTAAATAAAAAGTTTGATGTCAAAAGAATTATTTAAAGAGGGTGTTAAACATATTGACCAAAAGTTTAGATTTCAGAAAAAAAATATAGATTTAATTACAGATAATTGCTCCACACCATGTTTCTGCTCCTAATGTGCAGAAACATGGTGGAGCTTATCTTTTTTCCACCAGCTGCAATCATTTAACCTGAAAACAGATTGCTGTCTTTAAAAAAGATACTCAAATTATATATATATATATATATATATATATATATATATATATATATATATATATATATATATATATATATATATATATATATATATATATATATATATATATATATATATATATATTATATATATATATATATACAGCCCTTGGAATTAGGGGCGGCATTTGGAAATGCCAACCAAACTGCAAACCTAAAAATGTTTGAAGTTGGCAAAAAAAATGTCAACCTTATTTCTATGTTTTATGGTAAGACCTTAGTATCAAATTTTTTGGCGATCTGATGCCGACCTCTAAAAGATTGAGATCAGCAAATATATATACATATATATATATATATATATATATATATATATATATATATATATATATATATATATATATATATATATATATATATATATATATATATATATATATATATATATATATATATATATATATATATATATATATATATATATATATATATAGAGAGAGAGAGAGAGAGAGAGAGAGAGAGAGAGAAAGAGAGATGTATTAGAGTGTCCCAAAATGATAAATTTTTTTCATTTTAAACAATTTTTTGATTTTCAATCAGTTTCATATGTGTTTTTGTCTATTTAAACAACAAAAAACCTATTTAAACAACAAAAAAAGATCTATTTAAAATCTATTTAAACAACAACAAAAAAAAACCTGAAAGTTTTGTTTTTGACCCCCGCCACCCTTTTTTAATTCTTCTTTTTCTAAAATTTTGACAAAAAGGACTAAAAATATTTTCAAAACATCGCTTTTTTATAATTTTTTTAATAAAATTAAGCGATGTTCTTTATATAAAGTAACAACTTACGATTGTTTTTGACCTAAAATGCGGGAATTCAAACCTCAAAAATTTCAAATACGAATTTTCTTTTCGCCGGCATCAGAAATATAAACGTAATTGAAATATAAAAACTGTATTTTCATCACAGAGCGGCCTGGTGTGCCGCTCTTTCTTAACAATTTAAAATTTTATTGACTATGAATAAATTAAAATTAAAATAAGAAGATTATAAGAAAATAAGAAAGAAATAAGAAGAATAAGAAGAAAATAAGAAGTCATTTGTTAAATGCATTTTGCAACAAAAAATTATGAGAAAAATAAATAAAAAGATATAGAGAGAGCAAAAATAAATTTAGTGCTTAGCTAAAATCATCAATTATTGTATATTATATTATTATTAAAATAATAATAAAATAAGAACTTAAATCAGTTAAGGAAAAAAACACAATAAAATTGATCTCAATAACTGAAGCAAAAAAATTAATATATATAGTTTACGCCATATATAATACTCGTCGAAGCATTAGCGAGTATAATAAACGATGACGAATTTCACGTTGCAGCGATGCAAATTTTAATTCGCTTCGTTCCAACAAAGTGAATAAAAGCAATTTTATTAATTATTTCTACTTTAAAAAGTAGCATATAAGCAATAAAATTGTTTTAGACGCTTTATCAAAGTTTTACAGTGTTATGAAATCTAAAAAATTTAAAATTGGGTTAACAAAAGATTTTTCTGACTAACTCTGATTTTTCAATCGGTCAATCTTGACCGGCTAGAATTCTTTTTGGGAGGTCAAAACAGCAATTTCAGTCATTTCGGGCGGTCATTGACCGTTGACCGCCCGCTGATATATATATATATATATATATATATATATATATATATATATATATATATATATATATATATATATATATATATATATATATATATATATATATATGTATATATATATGTATATATATATATATATATATATATATATATATATATATATATATATATATATATATATATATATATATATATATATATATATATATATATATATATATATATATATTATTATATTTCAGACAACAGGCAGAATTTAGGTGCCAGGTCCATAGTTTTTACAAAAAAAATATTATTTTAAACTTTGATTAGATGGCATGGAATTACTCACTAAGGAACAAGCCATCAACTGTTTACAAAATTACTCCCAGAACACAAAATTACTTATTTACTATTTTTTTGTATTTTTGTTATTTATTTATATATTTTTTTTTGTATTTTTGTTATTTTTATCTTTTTCTTTCTGTTTTTTTAATTCTTCATTGTACAAAATGGCTCCATTGAAAATCTTTTTTTACCATATGTATTTTTCGATAATGTTATTTTTAAAAGACCATCATTGTTAACTTGGATAAGGTCATTTAAACCAGGATGGCATTTTCCTCAGACAATTGATTTAATTAGTTTCAATGCATGATCTGTTTTTCTATCTGTTAGTGATTTGAGATTAAATTCTTCTATTAATGGTGCTGCATGAGAGTTTCTTGGTGCATGGCAAATGATTCTTGCAGCTTGTTTTTGTATGACATCTTATTTTTTTATTTGGGTGTTAGGTAGTGAAATGTAAAATGAACTAACAAACTCCATATGACTAAGCACCATTCCATTATAATCATTTTGATAATTTCTCAATAGATTTGCTGCTGCTCTTATCATAATTGTCTAAGAAGGAGTGGCTCTTTCTTAATCTGCTTGTTAAAGGTCAGATACTGGTCTAATGTTACTCCTAACAATTTTACATTGTTTTCAGGTATCAGCGCTACTAGACTTTTTCTCTTCCTCACCCCACCCCTTTTTTATGATTGATTATGATAGAATACATACTTATTCATATAAAAACATGGGTTTGAAAATTTGAGGAAAGTACTCTAATTTGTTGATGAAGTATAAAAAATCACACTAAAAACTCTAATATTTGCTATCTTTTTAATACTAGGTTATGATTTAATTCCTTTAAAAAACCCTGGTTTCTATAAAACCAAAACTGTTTCAAGATAAAAAATGCATCATTTTCTGATTGATCTCTAACCCTAACCCTAGCCTAAACCATGTACATTTAATTGTGCCAATCCTATTTGTAAGTAGATACATTTAAATTTAATTACATCAGTACCTATTTGTCAGTTGATGTATGTCAGTACATATTTGTCAGTCAATTTATGTACACTTATTTGTGTCAGTAGCTATTTTTCAGTTGATTTATGTACATTTACTTGCACCAGTACCTAAATTCGGTCAACTTATGTACATTTATCTGTGCCAGTACCTAACTATCAGTCATTGTATGTACATCTATTAATGTGCATTAAATTGAATATAAATGAATTAGTTTTTAGACTTCTGTTTTTAAATGACTCTGAATCAGTATAATATATTCTATCATAAAGATAGGGGATGGGGAGAAATTAGCGACTTAGGTGCTATTACACACGAAGTCGTTACACAGCCAATTTTCAATACTTAATTACAAGGTGTTTTGACAAAAAGTCATTATTTTTTTTCCAGTAAAGTCTAAAAACACCATGGTTCTACAATAATTGTTGATTTAATGAGCATTCATATCTTGTTCAATTAACAAAGACTGTCTGTTCTTTTGTGCTAGAAGTTCATTTGTATAAAAAAAATCAAAAAATTAAACCTTTGTAGCTCTTGTCCTTCCGCAGAAACAATATAGTCTTTATCGTTGTCATCCTCAAAAGTCTCGGAATCAAGTTTTTTGAATTTTGAGCTTCTTTCAACAAGTTTGTTGTTTTTTTTCTTAGAAAGAAACTTAAATGATAAGCTTGATGGCTCGGGATCTTTATTTTGTTTCTCCACGGCCATCTTTAACATATTGACAACAAATTAAAAGCTTATAATTGACCGGTAAAACATTCAAAGTTTGCCGGATAAATATTTGAATAATCTTAAAATAAAATCATGATTATAAAAGTAAAAGTATACCCGACATTCTTTTTTTTATTTTTTTATTTACTAAGGTGCTCCAAAAAGACTTTTTTTCAATTTTTGTTTTAGGTGCCTTTAGTAGATCTAACGCTCTTGTTACAGAGCACTGCGGAAGAGCATTTTTAAAAAAAATACGGTTCTAAAGCAAGTGCTCTAACAACTACGCCATGGTCGCTAACTTAACTGTCTTATCCCATAGCACCACAGTTAACCAGGAACCAAGGAGTTCACGCTTCTATCCTTACCAACTTAGTTCTTATAGCCAAAGCTGTCATCAAATCTCGAACCTCTTGATATTCGGTACAAACTAATAGACAGGGCCTTCGAGAGGAAGGGGCAAAGGGGGCAAATTGACCCGGGCGCCAAGCTTTAAGGGGCGCCGGGCAATCCGTTGGTTTTTTTTTTTATTTATTTTAATTTATTTTTTTTTTTTTTACAATAAATATAAAGTATTTTAATGACTGACAATTTGAAATCTGTTTAGTTTTTGTACTTGAGATTAAAACTTTAGTATTCGGAATAAAAATGCTCATGAAAAAAATAATTTAAAATTTAAATTCTATTATTATAATTAATTATAAACTATTTTTTACGAAAAAAATACAATTTATTGAAGTAGAATCAGACGGAAGCGGCCGTATTCCGTAAGCCTGTGAACAGTTAGCAATGCTAGCTCATGGTTGATTGTTTGGAAGATGATGCAATGTGGTAATTATAACGGTAACTGATCAAATATTTCTTTGAAACAGTCAACACTAATAGAACGTTCGTTTAGTAATGCTTTCCATGGGTTCGCTTCAACTTCTTGCAAAAAAACAAACACACGAGACTTTATTGTCAATTTCACGATAAAAGCGCTGCTCTTTTAGGTAGTTTTTGAATTTGAAACAAAAGAATCATAGCTTAGCATTTTTTAGATAAATAAGCAACTTTGCCACTACCAGCACCCAAACAGTTATCAAATATTTGAGTTTTTGCATCTTTTCTGCACTCAATACGTGTAATTTACTACACTCAATATGTGTGATTTGAAGAACTTTGGATCAGTAGAGGGGTCAAACAGTTTCCCTAAATCTGAACTAAAGAATTTCAAAGTTAATCATCAGAGTCAGAACGAGAAACTTTATACCTTAAAGTGGAGAATGTGATGTTCAATCTGATTCGGTAATAATTACTGCTAACCACTATTTGTGGCCAGTTGTTTTGAGTCAAAAAGATCAAGAGGTAATTATTTTTTTTTAAAAAAAACAGTACAAAAGCAGTTTTCAAAAGTAGGTAATTGTCCCTACTTCGTTAGAACAGAGGAGCTACGGATCAATGGAGGAAACTTATAAATTGTGTGAAGCAGCATCAATCCAGCCAAAGTGCAGCTCTCGAAGAAATCCTGAATGGTATCTACTTCATAATCATATTTTTATTGCAACTGTACACCTGTATTATATCTCAACTGTATTATATCTCATACTGAGCAGATAATCTTTGTTATTCGTTTTTTTTCTCTATGGAAGAGAAATTAACTACTGGAAAATCAAAGAACGATACTTGTGTGTTGAAACTTTTCAGATGAAGAAAGAACTTGATATAGCTAAACTAACCACTAATGTAGTTTTAAAGCTGAGAATGGATGTTCAAAAATGTCGCGGTCAGAGACACAAAAATGGGACCATTATGTCAGGTGCTTACAAAGAAGCTTGAGCCTTAATAAGGTAAACTTTTTTGCGAATTTATTATGTTCTGAATGTTCCCGGTAGCGCTCACAATCTAAATGCAAGTTTTTTTCAATGGAAGATTCTCATTGAAGCAACTTGGATTTTACTTAATAGACTTTCTATGCCAACATGGAGCTCTCTTATCGATAAAATCAAAACACTTGCCAAGAGAAATTTTGGCAGCTCTGAAAAACTATGTTTGACCAGTGAGTAGCTGTTAGTTGTCTTCTACAATCTGCAGCCATTGTCTGATAATAGCATAACTACATTATTTCGAGATATGAACATGGAATTAACAAAAGTATCTGATTGGTTTAAAATGAATAAACTTTTACTAAATGTTGAAAAAACAAAATGGACACTTTTTCATCCAACGTCTAAAACAAAAACTACTTCCTTGTGAACTACCTTTACTTTTTATTGATAAAATCCAAATAAAAAGAGTAATTAGTGCTAATTTTTTGGGTATCTATGTTGATGAAAACCTTAGTTGAAAATACCACATTGAATTCTTGTGTAATAAAATTGCTAAAAGTATAGGAATATTGTATAAAGCTAAAGGTGTGTTAAATAAACGTAGTCTAATTCAATTATGTTTCTCTTTTATCCATTGTCATTTAAACTATGCTAATATTGCTTGGTGCAATGCCAATAAATGTAAACTAGAGCCTCTTTATCGTCAACAAAAGCATGTTGCTCGTCTTATTAGTTTTAAAAACAGATTTACTCATGCCAAGCCTCTTTTATATGAAATGAAAATTCTTAATATCAGCTAAATGGTTTTTATATTCTTTGTTTTATGTTTAAATGTAAAACTAACTCTTCCCCAATTTCTTTCCATAATTTATACACGCTGAAATATAAAAAAAAATACAATTTAAGAAATGATAAATTAATTCGTCAAGCATTTTTTCAGACTAATTTTGGAAAATCTAGTATTTCTTTTCGAGGAGCTTTTCTTTGAAACAAAATAGTTTTAAAACATTTTAATTTTTCTCTGCAATGGAGTTATTTTTCATTCAGAAATAAGCTTAAAAAAATCAGCAATGGAGTTATTTTTCAAGAACTAATGGTCTTCTGCGAGTCTCCGCATTCTTTTTATATTAACAAAAAAGTCTTAGTTTTATCTTTTATTTATTTCTTATCGAGTAACGTTTTTAACAATCTAATTGTAAATTTTTCTTAACGATCTAATTGTAATTTTTTCCTAACGATCTAATTGTAAATTCATTAATTTTTCATTGAATATATTGTAATAGAAACAAAAAAAAAAAAAAAAAAAGCCATTACCATTGATGATGATCTACATTTGATTAGACAGCTGCTTGAAAATCTTAAACGGATTAGGGACACTTGGTTGCGAATTTTCCTTATTGAGAGACTGTAATTGTAGCTGACTCGCTAGGATTTGAAGTTGAACTCCCTACTAAAGGAAAGTGTAAGCTAAGTATCTTTATGATGAGGCATCAAACACAGCCCATTTCCACTTTAACCATAAAAAAGAACTTAAAGTGAACGTTTTTAATGTTGATTTAGATTGACAGATCCAGCATATTGATTCAAGGTTTGAGACGAGAAGGATGGTTGGCAATATGTTTTTATTCTTCTAGTTGAATAATGATAATTTTTCTGTTTAAAATAAAGTATGAGAACGTGCACGGTTTTATCTGAGAGATGTAAACAAAAAGATTTTTATTATAAAAGTTTGCCGTTTTAACAATTTCCGCGATATTCGATCTAATCTTGTAGAAGAAGCTTGAACGTTTTTTTTTCCATACAGTTGTATCATTTTCCGGATTTTCAACACTCTTCCTAAGTCAGTTGTCGAGATTTATCAACCGGATTTTCCTAAGTCAGTTGTCGAGATTTATCAACCGGATTTTCCTAAGTCAGTTGTCGAGGGTGAACAATCATTTGGTAAACTAAAAATTGTAAAAAACTGTCCTTTGACCATGGGCCAGGATCGCGTTACTGGTATTTAATTATTTTGATTAAAGAAGATTTTGGCTAAAAAGGTTGTAATCATTATTTGGTCGACCATAAAAGCTCAAAAAGTTCATTTTTAAGTGGCTTGTTTACCTTTCTTAAATGTTTAGTTGATTAATTTTTTAATAGTTATAAAGCAAATGTTTTGATCATGTCAAAAAACCGTTTCTCAATCCAGAGAATTAATGGTAACCCAAAAGTACAAAGTGCTGTTTTAGAAACAAATAACTGCTGCGTTCACAAAACTTTTAAAATTTTAATTTCTTTAACTAGTTTGAATTAAGGGCGTCGCTCTTCATTTTTGACCCGGGCGCCAATGACGCTCTCAAAGGCCCTGCTAATAGATAAAATAATGTATATAGAGAAGCAGTAAAGACTTTATTCTTTATTATAATTTCAAAAGTTTTGAAACTTTTCAAATAACTTTATTTGACTTTCCATTTTAAATATTCAAATTTAATTGTTATTCCGAGTAATTTTAACAAAAAAAAAAACTTTTTATTTTAAGATGTTTATTGTTAGTTTAAAAAAGTTTTTGAACTATAAAATATATAAGTTTTATTTTATTAAATTTAAAGGAAATTTTATATCATGTTATCAACCCGTTGGGAAATAAACTGACCACCAGCTAGCAAATAGCTAGCTTTATTGCGATTTTTTTCTTATTTACAATATAATATGTTGTAATAAAATCGTAAAGTTCATTTATTATTATAAATATATTAGATTTAATACTAAATATAGATTTTTTCAAAACATAAAAAACATTATAAAACAATAATGTAAAAGAAAAAAATTGCTATAAAGCGATATTATCGCTATCTACATAACGTAGCTTTGTAACTATCGATATAACTACGATTTATCGGTTGCTACATATCGTAGCATTGCTGCTAGCTACATATCACAGCTTTGTAGCTAAGGATATTGTTACGATATACTGATAGGTAAAGATCGCAGGCATGTAGCTAACTTCAACATAACAAATAATCTAAACAAGGCTGTTTTATGACCTCTTAAGCTAGGCTGTAATATTTCGTAGGCCAAAACGCAAAAATTTCCTTTTTTTATTAGCTATATGTTTTTTAATTACAGTATTATTATGCGATCAATGAACCAATATAATCTGGAGATAATTTTTTGTTTGTTTTTTGTTTTTGTTTTTGTTCCTAATTTTCACTTTAAATGCATTTTAATTTTATATAGTGAAATGTCTGACGGATAAAAAAAGAAATCAGGCATCTGGGAGCGAAAAGCAAAAGAAAAAATAAACAAAAGAATAACAAAAAAGCTCAAGGCTTCTTTGCTAAAATACATAGTGCCATCAGTTATACAGACTAATTCCAATCCGTCACAAAATTTTGAAGGAGAAACCATTAACGATAATACCAATCAAATTTTGACAATTGAAACTATCCTGTTCTCTATTCGAGCACATAATAAAAGCTAAAGAGAAGAGAATATTAACTTTAATTACAATACCAATCTACATGGAACATTACTCCAGATCTCATACAATACTTTCCCAAAAACTTTCTTTCTCAAAATTGGAGATCGATTACGATTTATGCAAAAAGCATACTTTACCTGAAAATAGGCAAGTGGAGAAATCGTTAAAGGGCATTGAGAGTATATTTTCCATCAACTGAAAAAATTTATTGTCATATTTGCAAACTGTTTTGTACCAATGAACTTGTGAACATGTTTCAATCAGAATTTGGTGACTGAAGAAATGCAACTTCAAGAATATCAACCCATGAAATGTCAGGGGAAAATCTCAGTGCTCATACCGAATATATAACAAAATTAAAAAAAGAGGAAAAAATGTGATTGATAACTTTCACGATTATCTGACTTTTGTCTTATTTTATTTCTTAAATTATTCCGCTTTTCAAATTTTTAAAAACGCTTGAAAACTAGTGTTGTTATGAGTATGAAAGGAATTCGACTGTCGACAAAATCGACAAGTATATTTTCTAAGCTCGACTAAAATCGATTAATACATTTTTAAAATCGACTAAGTCGACTAAAAGTAGATTTAGTCGATTTTTTTTTTTTTTTTTTTTTTGATTTCCTTAGTCGATTAAACCGACTAATTGATTTTTCAAAGTCGAATAATTTCGACTTTCAACTAGTAGACTTTTTGTAGATTTAGTATAAGTCGATAACAACACTTTTGAAAACACCGATGTAATGGGGCTCGGTGATAAGAGTCTGTCTTCTTCTTGCTCCGGCTAGGATTTTCTATTCTAGAAATTTTTTTTTGTAGTTTTTAACAAAGGCAAAAAAAAAAATTAAAAAAAAATGATAAAAAAAATTTTAAATAAAATTACACCTGTGAAGAACCGCTTTTTAGCAATAATCATAATGTATTACAATTTTTTGTATAAAAAAACTTGAGTGTATAAAATTTTGATTAAAAATACAGATTTTTTTTTGAGTTGTTAAGTTAATTCCAATTAACTTTTAATAATTTAGATGAGGTACTCTCGCTTAAATTGTGCATGATTGAATTTCTAGTAGTTACATAAGTTAGGAAAAACAAGTTTTAAAAGCGTTTTATTATTTCATTTTTCTTCTTCTATTTAAATGAGAATAAAAATTGGCATTTTACGTCTGATAACGGTCTATATAAATCAGGCTGAAACATCACTTAAAACAAAATTATTTAGTACGCTGCTGTTTTTATGTTTATGACTAATAATAATTTTATGTACAACAAGAAATGTCAACACTTAAGTAGAAAATAAATGTTATTAAAAATGTGTTAAAAGTAAAGGCTGACTTAAATACTTTGCATGAATAGATAAATTTTCTTCAACAATAGTTTTTTTTTTGTGACTAATAGTTAACTAAAATTCCAATCACTATTAAACTGTAACTTAGTAACCAAATTAGTAAAAAAAATTATAAAAATGCTAAAGAAATTATACTTGTATAAGGGCTGAAAAAAATAAAAAAGCTAAAGAAATATACTTATATAAGGACTAATTACACTCCCTAAAATTTTACTATGTTTTGGTATAAGTTTTTTGTCTCAAATGTCTTGAACACAATAATGTGTAGAAAACAAAAGAAGCTGTAGCACTTTAGCAATCTGCAAAAAAATTTGGCCAGTCAGGTGCCTATATTTCAAAAATTTATATGTATTTTGTTTTTAAAAACGCAGTTTTGGTTGTCAAACATTAATATTGTAGCGTCAAATATTAACATCGTAACATACGATTGATCTTAAACTTTCCATAAATTCATATTTAAAGTGATCTATTCAATTTTTACATTTATATTTTATATTGTTTGCATGTTTTTCTATAAACGTGTTTACAATTTTTATTAATATTTAAACGTAGCAGTAATTATTTAAGATGTTATAAAACCATATTCAAATAACAAATAAATTCATTTTAAAATCTGTTTAACAAAAGTTTGTTTTGTAAGCACCTTCTTATTTGTAAGCACCTTCTTATTTGTAAGCACCTTCTTATTTGTAAGCACCTTCTTATTTGTAAGCACCTTCTTATTTGTAAGCACCTTCTTTGTAACTCTTTTTATACTCATTTAAAAACACTATTTGTGACGTTGCATTTTGTGTAATTATGCTTATGTTATATCCTTTGCAGAACTTCTTTTTCGATGTAAGTTTTTTAAGCAAATTAGCTCTAATGACCGGAGATAGAAAAATATAAATAAACGCATCGGTAAAAAATCCAATAAAATAAGATAAACCAACAAATATTTTGAAAGACTCCTCGATTTTTTTTTCTGCTAAATACTTATAACAATATATGGAGTCTGGTATTACAATAAAAACTGAAAAGTTAAGTATAAATATGGTTGGCATTAAATATCTGCGTAAAGTTCTTTTTCTAACGGGAAATGATTGTTTTCCTAAAAATGCATTTTGTTTTAACTGCGCTTTGATAACCTTACTTTTTTTTAGAAAGTGATAGCATTTATAACTAATGTAAAGATATGTTGAAGATATTAACAATGCCGCTAAGGAATTCAATATTGGGAAAACATATTTATAACTTATACAGTAAATCTTGTCTATCTTTACTTTTGAAGCCATAAAACAAATACTTGCACTTACAGCTAACCCCCAACTTATTATAATTGATCTTTTGACACGTTTCACGGTCCAATATAAATTGTATCTGAGGTTAAGGTATAGCTCAGAAAATCTATTTAACGTATACAGCAACATCGTAATGTAATAAGGAAAGCAGCAACCGATATTTAAGTAAATGCTAACATAGTTCTCTGCTTCGTAAGCTTCTTCTTTCTCTGGTTTTAACAAATTAAGCAATACTTCCAAATTCTTAAAAAATATCATCTGAGCCTCAACTAAACAAATGTTAAAAAGAAATACAACTTGAATTTTATCGAGTGACGCTTTGTTTCTTGATAAGACATAGAGTCCAATAATGTGTAAAGGAAAAATAGATAGTCCAGTTATCAATAACGCCAGTTTGCTGTCGATCAATGTCATTTGAATAAAATAAAACTACGCTTTCAAATATTTAGTAATCAAAATTAAAAAAGTTAATGAATAACTGTTTTCAAAAAAGCATTTGTTTTTTAATTTGCTATTTCTTTGTCGTTCTTAATCTCTTAAAAAATTTCTTTGTTTTTAAAAATTCTTTTCGAACAGCATCTTTCACATTTACTTGATTTGTTAACATAATAAAACAGAAGCCCAGAGTTGTTTAATTTCAATTGTAACTTACAGTTTTATTTCAATTCGTACGTATATACGCAAAAAAAGAAAAAATTTTGAAATCAGTGAAGAAGTTATAAGATTTTTTATCAATGAATTCAGTGAAGTAACTTTTATAGAAATGTCTGTTTAAAATAGTGTTTCAAACTAAATTTATATTATTATTTTATTGAATGGATCTTTATTTTATATGTAAATTAAATTTTCTTAACTGATTTCTAAAATTTTAAAATTAAAATAATGCAAGTTGAATCTTGGTAATGAACATTACTACAACAAAAACAACCTTTTGATAAAAAATATATCAACCACTTTGCAATAAGTATGACACAGTTGTTACGTTTGTATAACAAAATTCTTAGTTTAAGTTACAAGAGTTATGCTAGGACAAAAAGAATAGTACAAAAAACGGGCCAAGTAAAAAAACAATAGACGACAAATATAAAACAGATTTAATATGTTATATAGATTCAACATAACATATATAAAGATAGAAAAAAACATGAAAGACTTAATTAAAAACTCACATTACAATATGTTTAACTCTTTATTTATTCTGTTTAATATATTTTGTAAATATAATATTACTTTTTGTTTATTTATAATTTTATCAGAACTATTGTTTATTAGATATATAAACAAAAGATCAATGAGTATTATATAACAAATTCAATTATATTTACAGAGAAAAATAAATAAGGTTGTTAATTACTAAATAAAAGGAAGAAATTATTTTACGCAATTATTTGTATATATAAATATTTCAATCATAATCAGTGAAAAAAAGTTATTCTAAGGGAGAAATGTCTGGGGGGAAAAAAAGTTTGCATCAAAAAATTGACCGCAATAATATTTGAAATTTCCGCAATGGCAGTTTCAACTTCTTCAAAAATTGTATTATATATTATGTGAATAAAAGTAGCTGCAGTAAATTTGAGATTTTTTTCTTCTAATCAAAAAGCTTTACGTAACTATCTATTTATTTGAAAAGGAATAAGAAAATTATATAAAAAAAAAAGAGATGATTTTATATCAAAATTAGGGTTGTTCATTTTTGTAAAAGTTGAGTTTATGATTAAAAAAAACTTTTCGAAACTTTTTGTTTCGGTAAGTTTGAAACGATTTCTAATTAGTGAATTTGTATTACGAAATTCAAAATATTTTATCGATACCTTTTTTAAGTTTCAAAATCCAAAAAATATTTATTTTATTATATTAATTCTAAAAACTGCATCTAAATGAATATTTATAATAACAAAAAATTAAAACTCGGACAAATTTGCAAAACGAATATATAATGTTGTTCTAAGGGCCAGTTCAAATGTATGAAAACCATTCTGCCTGGAAGAGAAAAACAACAATAATTTTGTGTAATGTTATTTTTTTCCAGATGTATTCGACTAAGATATGATAAACTTAGGAGCGATTTTTATATGTAGAAAAGTTGATTAGCTAAATTATTTTCGATTAGCTAAATTATTTTCGGAAAAAAAAAAAGAGCTTCGAAAAGTTAAATTAGTTTCGAAAAAAATAAACCATTTCAATTAGCTAAATTATTTTCGAAAAAAATAATTTTTTAAAAGGTAAATAAATTTCGAAAAAATAAAGAACTTCGATAAGTTAAATTAGTTTCGAAAAAATAAAAGGTTGCACTAAATAAGGTACAAAGTGTCCCCTAAAATTAACGAAAAAATAAACTGCACTATTCTTAATTGTGATAATGTTGACGAATTCCTTCTACCACCTTTTGTTGTTTACAAATCAAAGAATCAACCCTATGATAATTGGACTAAAGGAGGCCTGCCAAACACACTTTACACAACATGACCATCTGAATGAAAAGCTATCAAGAGTTGCAGTGGCTCAATGAAATATTTATTCCTTACATTTAAAAAAATTGATGGTCAACATATTTTTCTTTTTTATAGCCACAGTACACACGTGTCATTAAGTGTAATCTTTTGACACGTGTGTCACAAGATTACACCTATATCATTAATATTTACAAAATCACCACGCAGCCCAAGCTATTTGCCTCAAACTGTTTAACCAGCACAACACCACCTGCAACTCCAACTTCAATCCAACTTCAATTCCAACTTTAAATTTAACTTCTTAAGAAGAATTGGTGACTGGTAAAAAAAACTCTTGAAAGAGCTTTCTTGAGGCAATTTTGATTCCAAAATGCTTACAAACATCCTGCAAAAAAAGCCAGAAACGTCTGAACAGTGGCTTGTCAAGCTTTTACAGACAAAACATGCTTAAACCAGTTAAGAGAAGAAGAAGACGCTAAGCTATTAAAAGTGTTGAGATTGCAACAGCTGAAGAAAAAACTCAATTTTTTTTTTCAAGCTCATATTTTTTTATTTATTTTTTTCTAGTTTTTTCTGTTTATATTATTATTATGTGTATATTTTAACATTATAAATAAAAATATTGAATTTATCATTTTATTTATGTTTTATCATATAATTTGGAACTGTCCGCTTTAGGGGAAAATTTTTCAAAGAACGGAAATTTTTTTACATTGCAGAATTGATCAAATAAACAACAATATCCCAGAAAAAATCATAAAAATGTTTGATATCAAAAAAATTATTTAGCTTTTCGTGAAGAGTGTTTTAACAAAAAGCTAAACAACTTTTTTCTAATCTGATTTATTACCATTTCAAAAAACATCTAAGTTATTGCTTTTTCATAAAAGAATAAATATATACTCTATATTTGTTGATTTGATTTAGTGACAGAAATCAAGTAGGTAAAGTAGGTTTCAATTTCCGCCTTAGGGACGTAAAAACATATATATGTATATAGTATACGTATGTTTGTGTGCGTCTGAGAGTGTGTGTGCGTATGTGTGCGTGTGCGTGTATCCATAACAATTTGTTATACATTTGTATATACCGTATAAATACATTATTAAAGCTGTAAAAGCAATTTTATATTATTTATAAATGCTTTATGGTTTGTTTTAGGCAATGTGCTTCTCCTAAGGTTTTTAAACTTATATGTAAGGTACTTCAGCCTTATGAAACTGATTCGATTGTTTACACCCCTCAATTTGAGGGGGGTGTAAACTTTATAAGGTCATAAAACCCGATTAAAAAAAGATTATTGAATCAAATTTGAAGTTCGTCAATGAATATAAATTAAGTTTAAGATTGAAAAAAAAAAAAAAAAACAGTTTGACTCATTGCTCTCCTAATCGGGGTTGGGAGAAGGAGCTAACGTTGTGGATTTTTTGTTGTTCCCAGTCTTCAATCACTGCAAATTTTTGCATAGCATCCTTATTCCTTATATATGAATCGCTAACTTGAAAAAGAGTACATGTTATATGAATTTTTGCAGGACATGTCCCCTTTTTCAAGCTAGCGATTCATATATAAACATACTTAAATATGGAGTTTTCTTCATGTTTTAAAGCAGGGCTGTGGAGTTGGAGTTGTGGAGTTGCGACAGTTTAAGCGGAGTCGGAGTCGCTGAACAAAATTGCGACTCCGACTCCAATTGTAAAACTTCTCGGTATTGCACGTGCATGTGCAAAACATTCAATTAACCTTATACTCATTCTAAAAATTAAAGAACGTTTCATAAATTTGTCAAAAAATTTTTTTTTAATTTATCGCGTAATATTTTTTACAGAATTCAAAGAATATTTCAAAAATTTTTCTAAGTTGGAGTCGGAGTTGGAGTTGTAGTCGGAGTCGGAGTTGTACTCAAAAAATTTCAACAACTAGAATCGGAGTCGGGGTCGTTACTTTTTTTTACGACTCTACACCCCTGTTTCAAATTTGCTTAGCTCAAACATCAAAAAAAGTTGTTTACGGCCTTGTACAGTATTTGTATCATGGGATGCTAATTTACTTAATCATAACAATTTGTACAAATAATTTTATTTATATAGTTTTTACAGTAAAAATATTTTGACGTAGTTATTTCATATTTTTAAGTCAAGTATATTGGCCATGGATGGTGAATATGTACAAAGAACAGAGTTAACACTGTGAAAAGATTATTAAACTGCGTTTTGTAGAAGTTCATTAGACATAGGATTGTAGATGTAGATTAAGCCTCAAGAGTTAATAATAATACTAGCAAACTCTTGAGGTCTAAACAAAATGCAGTCACAAATATGTTTTTTTTTGAATTTATCACCATTTATGTAATCATCATCATTAATACAAATATAAATTAAAGTAGTATAACAACATTATAAAAAGTTTAAACCAAGGTGTTTGGAATGTGGCCACAAGGAGTTTGAAAAGTTGCCACAAGGTGTTAGAATTGTGGCCACAAGGTGTTTGAAGTATGGCCGCAAGCTTTTCTCAAAGAACTTAAAATGTGTTCATCAAATCAATTCTCCGTGTTTCAATTAAATCTTCATACATTCAACTACTACAAACTTTAAAGAGCTGATGTTCTTAATAATTAATTTAAATTTAAACTTAAGCTTAATTTGTTTAGCAGAAAGCTGGATTTAAGATGCAATATTTTATCAAAACTCTAATTTTATCTTGCCAATTGCAAAGCCATCAGTTTTGAGCCAAAATTGTTTAAAACAGGTGGTGGTATATGTGCTTATGTGCTTGAAAAACTTGCTTATAAAGTTAGATACCATAGACGACATTGTTTATTTAAACATATGAAGCTTAATAATAAGCTGATTCAAATAAACTATTTTTAACGTTGAGTGTTTTAATTAAAATTTATTTTAATGCGTAAAATTTTTTTAAATTTTATATACGACATTAAAAAACGTGTTTTTTGTCCGTAGGTTTTTTTATCATCAGTATAAAATCATACCGCTTAATGTTTACTTTTTAAACAAAAATTTACAATAAACCATCAAAAAATAATATCGTAACAACTTAAATAAGTATTTTAAAATCGCGTAAAAAAAAAATAAAGACACTTAGTTTTTATTTATTGGAAATTATAATGTGGATTGTTTAAAATACAGTGAATATAAAAAAAAAACAAAAAAAAAAAACTTTTCACAGTCACTTGAATGAATATAGAGTAATGCCTATAATAATCAAATCGACAAGAATGCAAAAATATTCT